AGCAGGAAAGTGAGCGCTCTTCCATTTCGAATAAGCACTGGAAATTGTGGAAGAGCTGCCACTTGGACTAGGATTTAATAAATGGGTCATTTTTGAAGGACGTGGTGAAAGCAAGACATTACACATCTCAAGAAGAGAAAATGGTATTAAAAGTAGTCAAGTAAAATAATGGCAGGATTCATTTATGGAATAAAAATATTCTACTTACCAATAAAACAGGTTAGATATTGCAAAAACACGTCACATAGGCTGAGCTTTGTGATTGTGCTTGTATCAGGAGAGTTTGGATATCTGGAGTGGCGGACAGTGGAGGCCCTTGGAGGTTTTCGAGCATGCCATGGGGTGTGTGCGGTACCACCAGGCTGCTGGGTACTGCCGCTGAGCGTTCTCCGTGGAAAACTCTCTGGTAGTAGCATCAGTGATTGTACGGGACAGAAATCGGGCAGGCCAGGTGGACAGGAAGTGAGGTCGTGAGAATCTAGGCTTCGGGGACCGTGTCCTCATAGGCGGCACAGTCCTCGAAGGGGGCGTCGGCAGGGGGACGAGCTGGCTCGGCCTGGGGCATCGCCCGTCCTGGGGGCCAGGGGCCATACTGAGCAGAAAGCTCAGCGTCCCAGTGAGATGCTCAGCAGTGGGGAGGCGCCAAGTGGGTAACCCAACGTAGAGTCCAGGGGTCACCCAAATACGGGAGAAAGCGCCTCTCCTGTGGGGCCCGGGCGTGTGTTTACTCTTCCCACATAGTACAGCATTTGGAGAAGGCAGTTGGTGGTGAATTGACATCATTCAGTGATGCTGCCATGAGGGCCTCTGTGGGGCTCTTGGCCTCCATGATTGCGAGAAGGCCGTCACCACATCCACGTGACTTCGCAGGAAGGGTAAAGGGGACGCGTCTAACACAAAACAGATTGTTCCGTTAATTCCAGAGCAGACTTCTGCTCGTGTCTGGCTGGCAGCCTGCGTGACATCGTCATCCCAGTGCTGGGAGGGACAGAGAGGGTGGGGTCAGGAGAGAAAGCCGGGGCGCGTTGGAGACAGTCGAGAGGAGTGGTTACCTAGGCACACTGGAGTCCAGCTCAAAGGGGTCAATGATAGTGCAGCCGCTGTCTCTCTGAAAAGTCTCTCAGAAGCCCTTGCCAGCCACTGGTGACCGTCCCATAGCACACGAAGACTTGGGGCTGCAGTGACACCCATGCTGGGCCATCCGTGCTGGTAGGATCAGGAGCCAGACCCAGCTCACCACTCTGGCCCGGGCCACGTCTGGTGGGAGACTGTGCATCCCTCGGGCAGCAGTGGGAAGTCATCTTCATCGACATGGAATGATAGGGCTATAGAATATTTATGGTTAAAAGAACAGTAATAATGGTAAATGCTTAGACTGAGTCAAAAAAATGTCATCCCTGCTGTGAAGACAATCGTATTTTAACTACCCTAACCCTACATAGGTACTTTATTATTCCCACTCAATGGGTGAGAAAACAAGATTTAGAAAACTTAAATATTTTGTTCAAAGCAACAGTTAATCTGTAGCAAAACCAGGATTCGAACCTAGGTACTTACAGATTACGTTTCCCATATATTCTCTCATTTATCCTCAAAAGCAGTTCTGTGAGTTAGTACAACAAATATTAATAATAACCTTTGTTTTTTTCCGGTGATGGCAAGGAATGAGTTCGAGCCAGTGACTTGTTCCAGTCCACTCACACACATGCCCCAGGATCGGCGCCCGGAGCCGCACC